AAAAGGAGGGGAGTGATTGACTTTGCAGTCTAGGAGCAGAGGTCCCTGGGACCATCAAGGGAGAAGAGCAGAGAGCGGGACCCTACCCAGAGAAGCACTGATGTCAGAGATGGAGGCAGAGATGATGACGTGGAGAGATGGAGCAGCTGGGGACTTTAGACCCAGAGAGGGAGAGTGACTGTGTGCTGAAGACCTGGGGGGGCAGGCTTGCAGGGTATATACTCTGCGTGGAGGAGATTGTAACCATGGCAATGAAATGATACACGATAGGATGAATGTAAAGCTAATGTTCTCACATGTAAACTATCACATAATTCACAACAAAACATTAAAAAAAATAAACCCCACCAGTATATGTAGTAGTATAAAAAGAAGGCAGTATTTAAGTTCTGCCTTTCTCATTTAATTTTATAAGCAGCATCAAGTTAGTCACATGGTTTTACTGTCCTTTTTTTCAAAGACTGAGTGTGGTGTAGTGAATTATCTAATGTCTCTTCTAGCCATAGTATGTAACTCCCACCAAAACATTTCTGCCCTGCAGAGTCTGGGTAAGAGTAGGTGGGAGAAGATATTGGTATGATGACATGATTCAGCTGTGGATGTGAGCAGAGTTAATTGTAATTATAAAAACTTGAACCTCTAGCGTGAGTTTAACGTGAGCCATCTTAGAAGCAGGAAAGGGGCTCTCACTTTCATCAGTGAAGAAGAGTCAGGAGTGAAGCGTATTCTTTGGGCCCCGAGATCCCTGCTCATTGAACTTCCTCAGCCCAGGGACACTGGAGTAGGGGCAAAGGAGCAGCAGCAGCAGAATCAAGAACCAGAGAATGAGACAGCAGTGAGCTTCCCAGCCCACTTTGGTCAGTAAGCTTGCTTGTAGTGTGGAATGCCTTCTGACACCTAAGTCAGGGAGCTACGTTTAATGACCCACAGAGCTAGAGCCAGTTCCTTGCTAAGGTTTATGGTGGAGTGGTGTGTCCTCTGGGCATTTATCAGCTGCTGACTGAAACAATTGTGCCCTGAGCATTTCTGACCCAGAATTGTACCCTGTTAACTTCCCTAATAAACCCCCTAACTGTGAGCATGGTGTCTCAGTCCTGAGTGGCCATTGCAAAACCACCTGAGGCGTAGAGAGGGTTGTGGGAAGAGTGGATGATACTACATATTTTTGCACTGAGGAAGTAAATGGATACACCATAATTAAGTGTGGAATACTTTAGAAACCTCCAGTTTGTCTTTACTAGGAATATTCTTCAGCAAACTTCATTGTTTTCCAAGCACTAGATTTTATTTCCTCAGAATAGCTTTCCTGATATGAAATTACTACATCAAAGGTATGAATATTTTAAAGCTCCTGTTTGCAAGCTTATTTCTAACAAGCTTTCTACATAAGTGTTTATTACCTTATACCAGCAATATATAAGAATTATAGTATCACTCCAGCCTTAACTTGCTAATTAGATTTCATTGCTTTTATTTGTGATTATTTCATTTCTAGCAAGCTCAGACATTTTTGTTGTTAGTTTGCAACTGTTTTGTGTATTTGGGTTCTTTAGTTCCACTTTGTGTGTGTGTGTGTGTGTGTGTGTGTGTGTGTGTGGTAAATACATAGCTTAAAAGATACTTGCTATTTCTACAATCTTCATATTTAAAATGTGGTGACATTAATGACGGTCATCATGTTCAGCGATCACTGCTAACCTTTCTAGACTTTTTCATCACATTTACCTAATATACTTTGGACATGTTATCAAAAAGGAGCAGTCCCTGGAAATGGCATCATGCTTAGTAAAATAGGTCATCAAAAACCATAAGGAGACAGATTGGCACAGTGGCTGCAACAATGGGCTCAAATATAATGATTGTGAGAATGGCACAGGACAGGACTGTGTATCTATCTGTTGTGTGTAGTGTTGCTAGAAGTTGGAGCCAACTCAAAGGCACCTAACAACAACAACAAGGTAGAACATAGTAAATGAAAGATAGGAAACCCAGAAGTATACAGCCTTATCACTAAACACAAGGAAGGGAATAGAAGGTTTTAGAAAAGAGATAACTTGATGATCTCTCAGAGAAGCAGAGAAGAATAAAGACATTTGGATTTGTTGACTAAAATCATATATGGTATCCCTTAAGCATTGTGTCTCCCTTTCCCCCTCCCTCCCACCTGGCCCTGGTAACCACTAATAAACTTTGATCTCTATACATTTTGTTTTATTCTCTATTGGCTGACCTTTCCTACTTTCATCTCAACTACTTTCCTCACTTTTATTATTTTCTTTAGGCTCCCATGACTCATTCAGCTACTGGGTGGATGAAAAGTCTCCGGTGGGGCCTGACCAAACCCCAGCTATCAAACGCCTTGCCAGGATCTCTTTGGTGAAGAAGCTGATGAAGAAATGGTCCGTGACCCAGAACCTGACATTTCGAGAGCAGCTGGAAGCTGGGATCCGCTACTTTGATCTGCGTGTGTCCTCCAAGCCAGGGGATACTGACCAGGAGATCTACTTCATCCATGGGCTGTTTGGCATCAAAGTCTGGGATGGGCTGATGGAGATTGACTCGTTCCTGACACAGCACCCCCAAGAGATTATTTTTCTGGATTTCAACCACTTTTACGCCATGGATGAGGCCCATCACAGATGCTTGGTTCTCAGGATCCAGGAGGCCTTTGGAAACAAGCTGTGCCTGGCGTGCAGTGTGGAAAGTCTCTCACTGAAAACCCTGTGGGAGAAGAATAGCCAGGTAAGAGGGAAACAGAGATGAGTTTACAAAGAGCAAGAACTTAACTCTTTCTGTGTTTTCTATATCACCAGCTGTAAACTCAGCAGGAGCTCTGGTGCTCTGGTAGCACCATGGCTGTGTGCTCAGCTGCTAACCCAAAGGTCAGTAGTTCTAACCCACTAGCTGCTTCAAGGGAGAAAGACCTGTTCCCATCAAGGTTTACAACTCTGAACACCCGAGAGGTATTTCTACTCTGCCCTATGAGATCACTTTGAGTCAGAACTGACTTGATGGCACACAAGAAGACAGCTCAATGCAGAGTTCTTAGCTAGAAGGCACAGGTTATTTGGAGTATTGTTGTTGTTGTTAAATGTCAAGTCAGTTCCGACTCCTAGTTCATCGTGACCCTGTATAAGGTTTGTGAATAGTGGTTGGTGGGTTTGACCCACCAGCCTTGTGGTTGTAAGTCCAGTGCTTATCCTACAGTGCCACCCCTGGACTGGGATGAACACATGCCAAATATTTAGAATTTGTTTGGCAACCTGTTTGACAAACAACTTCACTTAGAATGACCTGCCAGAACCCACCCATGGCAGAATTGTGAAATTGAACCAGTTGGCCGTTACCACTTTCTTATCTACTACAGCGTCCATTTTCACTGCCATTGTCATTCTTCATCCCAGAGATCCTTGCCCTAGTGGAGCCTTCATTCTAGCAGTGGAGACAATGCATAGATGCTAAGCATAATTAGTACATTATATGTAATGCTAGAAGGTGGAAAGAGCTATAGAAATATTAAGTTGAGCATGTGCCGGGGAAACCAGGAATTCTAGGGAGGGACATTTATTGGACAGATGACATTTGAGGCATTAACCATGTGGCTATGTGAGGGAAGAGCTTTCCAGGCAGAGGAACCAGCTGTGCAAAGGCCCTAAAGTGGGAGTTCGTCTGACTGGAGGAGCTGGAGGCCAGTGAGGACAGGGTAACAGGAGGTCTGAGACACAGTAGCTGGGTGACAAGACTTTATGCATCTTTTGCTAAGTAAAAAACTTTAACTTTTACTCTTTTAAGTGGAAAGGGTATTCTTGGCAGGGTTCTGAACACAGGAGTAATGTGATCTGATACATTTTAATGGACCCCTTTCATTTCTGTGCTAGGAATAGATTGGGGAATAGGGGCAGAAGTAAAGAACCCCAGGCCCAATGGCACAGACTACTGCCTGGTACTACACCATCCCATGATCATTTGGAACAGAACATTGTAATCCATAGGGTTTTTATTGTTGCGTTTTCTAAAGTAAATTTCCAGGCCTTTCTTTCTAGCCTTAGGCTGAAGGCTCCCTGAAACCTGTTTGCTTCATAGCAACACATATGCCTCCAATGACAGACAAATGGTTGTTGCACATGAAGTGCATTAACCGGGAATCGAACCTGAGTCTTTCTCATGGAAGGCAAAGATTCTATCCCTGAACAAGCAATGCCCTTATCTTATAGCATTTAATAATACTAATAATAACAATAGTCACAACAAACATTTATTGAGCCTTTATAATGCTCTCAGTATGAACCGCAAGGTTGGCAGTTCAAACGCCTATACAGGGCCTCTATAATTCAGGACTGAGTCAATAGCACTTCACAATACCAATAGCAGTTGAGTCATTTCAGAACCTGTATGTTGCTGTTGGAGTCCTGGTGTGGCACTGTGGGTTAATGCTTCAGATTGCAAAGCCATTTGAACTGCGAGGTTGGTGGTTCATGCTCACCAGCTGCTCCTCAAAAACCCTATACAGGGTAGCTATGGGTCAGAATCAAGTTGATGGCATAACAACAACAGTTTAATTATAAAAAGTACACTATCATTCAAAGTCCATTTATTTAACATGAAATTATATCACAGCTCACATATATTTTTATACATAAGTCTTTCATATTTATTATACATTATATATTAGTGACTGGGTTTTAAAAATTATAGTAAATTAGAAAATGTATTCTACACTGAGAAGAATACGTGTTGTTTTTGTGCTGTGGAGTTGGTTCTGACTCATATTACTAAAATACAAAATAACAGCTATACAGTTGAAAGATAGAACTGTCTCACTCTATGCTACGTGAAGAAAAGTATTGTGTAAGAAAGAAAATGAAAAATAGAAGAGTATAAATCTGCCTCCCAGAGGCTCCCAGCAAAGAAATGCTTCAGAATAAGAGGAGTCCTGGTGTGGCACTGTGGGTAATGCGTCAGACTGCAAAGCTGTTTGAACTGCAAGGTCGGCAGTTCAAGCTCACCAGCTGCTCCTTGGAAACCCTACACAGGGTCGCTATGGGTCGGAACCAACTCGATGGCACTTAACAACAGTAACAATCAAGGAATAGTTCATAAAGGAAATGAGCTTTTTAACATGAGTCTCCAGAGAAAAAGTGCATGTGAACTGCTGAGCTCGACCCTGGAGCATTTCAGAGAAAAATACAACAGAGAGATGAGGAAGCAGATCGAAAACATAGGCCAAGGCAAGAGCCATTGGTCCTAGAATCTCTTAGACTAAGCTTTGGTTTACCAGGCCAGCCTCCCACTCACTATAAACAAAAATTCAGGATGCGGTTGCTCAAGAGGATGCTTGAGGAAAAGCATAAAGCTCCTTTTGTGTAATTGATACTTTGTGCACCTTTTCTAAGGCAGACTAAAGTACAGCACTGTCCTCTCATCCCCTGACGCTGGACCTGTTGCTAGGCAGCACAAGAAAGCCTGTCACAGGGACGCATAACCTTCCTACACTTCTACAGTGCATTTTACAGACCAGCTTCCCAAGCCCAGGGTGCTGGAGGCCCCAGCCTTCCAAAGGAACCACACTACCAAGAGGAAATCCTCCCCAATCTCCCATGGGATCTGCTTACCCTGTGCCAGTGATTAACTTCATTACCATTAACAGGACATTAGCAGTCAGGCAGATATTACTCAGAACCACCAAAAACAACAATTAGTATCCTATGCAGTGCACCGTACCTGGCACTCCCTAGCTCTTGGCCTTCAGGAGCATCTTGTCATACACCTTAGTCATGAACTAAACACATGCCAGAAACAGGCTAGGCATTTAGAGCCCCTGTTCTTGGAGGCCTGGAGGATTATGCTCTTGGGCCAGCCAGCTATCAAAGGATCACAGTCCAGGGAGTATAGACACGCAGACTAGACTTTCTTCCAGGAAGAGCCCACGGGTACCTGTGACACACACAGAAAATACATGAGTGTATGTTATTTCTAGATACGCCAAAACTCTGAATTGGGACCATCAAAATAACAATGCCCTGTCCCTCAGTTGCCTCCCAGAAAATAAATGTTGTGGATGGGGCTTGTTAATTCTTTCAAAGTCTTCAGCATGCTGAGAGGTCCTGCTGGAAGCCCCTCAGCTCTGTGAAGCCTCCCCTGACTCTAGTAGCATATGCTCCTTCCTCCTGGGAATGGGGAGCACATTCAGAATCAGCAGTACACAGTTACAAACCTACTAATTCCCGTGGGATTTCAATGTGGTTTATCTCCACTACAAGAGCTAAGTGTAAACGTTGCAAGTGCTGGAGTCTTAACTCCTAGACAGGATTCACTACCGGTGTCAGCCAGGGGTCTTCAGGTTCCCACAAAGGCTATATGGATAGAATTTAGGAAGTATGTGAATTTAGAGAGGTAAAGAAAGTACATACTTATTTGTACTAACCTCTAATTGAAACATATTATCAGGAGGGACCAGGCCCTGTAGAAGGACATTATGCTTGGTAAACTGGAGGGTCAGCAAAAAAAGACCCCAAACAAGATGGACTGGCACAGTGGCAGCAGCAGTGCGCTCAAGTGTTTTGCTCTGCTGGGCATAAGATTGCTTTGAGGTGGTTCCTACTCAACAGCATCTAACAACAACCACTAACTGAAAATTTGAATACTTGTTGGTATCAATCATACCAGTTGGGACTTTGTCCTAAGGGAACCACAGATCTTTTTATTTCGTATTTCAGTTATTGCAGATATTTTGAAATATCCTTAGCACTCAAGTCAAAATTTTGGAGTTTAATATACCCACAGACATCACTAGGTGGTGCAAACAGTTAAACTCTCAGTTGCTAACTGAGAGGTTGGAGGTTCGAATCTACTCAGAGGTGCCTTGAAAAAAAGTCCTGGTGATCTACTTCCAAAATTCAGCCGTTGAAAGCTCTCTGCAGCACTCACACCGATGGGTCATCATGAATTAGAGCTGGCTTGATCAAGGCAACTGGCTTTTTGTTTCTTTGTTTTTATTTAAAAACATTTTTTTAATGAGACCCATAATAAAACCCTACTATTTAATACATTGTATTATTATAAATTATTTAATGTATTAATAACTATATTTCACTATAATCAGTTTTCTGTGTCATCCTGTCTGTTGTATGCATTCATTTAAAAACATAATCCTAAGGAATTCATGCTTTTATTATACTTCCAAAGATGTGCATGGCAAAAAGAAAAAAAAAAAGCAGGTACTCAGTAAATCTTTGCTAGTTATTTACAGACCTTTAATTTCTGGGTATGAATCGGGCTGCGAACCACAAGGTCACAGTTCAAAACTAACAGCCGCTCCGCGGGAGAAACATGAGAGTTTTGCTCCCGTAAAGATTTACAGCCTCAGAAACCCTGTACAGGGTCGCTATGAGTCGGAACCGACTCCACAGCACATAACAACAACACAACAAGCTCCCTGTATGCTTATATTTGTTTTCTTGCCTCCCAACCAAGTCTAAATCTTCCTAGTTAGCATTCAACGTTTTCGTGATTTGGTCTCCATTTTGTTTTTCACGTTTCAGGTTCTTATTTTCTATCACTGTCCCTTCTACAAGCAATATCCCTTCCTGTGGCCAGGAAAGAAAATTCCAGCACCCTGGGCAAACACTACCAGTGTGCGCAAGCTAATCCTCTTCTTGGAGACCACTCTCAGTGAGCGGGACTCACGCAGCTCCTTCCACGTCTCTCAAGCTATTCTCACCCCCAGAGTGAAGACCATTGCCCGAGGCCTGGTGGGCGGCCTCAAGAACACTTTGGTTCATAGGTAAGGATTGGTTTTCATCTCACAAGTAAAACTTTTAAAAATTCAACTTCTCTTCTGAATACATAGCTATGAAAAGAATCTTTAAACAATTTCCTAAAATGTATCTATTATGCCATAAGTATTTAAAAATTTTAATACTAAAGGAAGTTGCTGCATTAGGAAAGTCTGACTCACAGGCAACCCCTGTGGTGGTGGTGGTTATGTGCTGTTGAGTTGGTTCCAATTCATAGTGACCCTGTACAGGGTTTCCGAGGTTTTAAATCTTTATGGGAGCAGAAAGCCTCATCTTCTTCCCGCAGAATGGCCGGTAGTTTCAAACTGCTGATCTTGAGGTTAGCAGCCAGACTCATAAC